TTAGGATTTTCACTAATCCTACCATTTAATCATCATATCTCATATAATTATACATTTAGAAATACGATGTGTTATACTAAGTTATCTTTTCCCCTATTTTGGGCTTGGGTCCCAACGGGTAGTTGGTGCTAATGTCACTCATTCGCAATGTTTTCCTCAGCCCGAGTGCTACAGCTCTGCTTTTCAATGCTACAGCTCTGACCTGCAATAAAATAGCAAAGGCAATAATTGGCTCTAACACTCAAGATATTATCAAATAACAACACTTAGCATATTTCTCATTCAAATCATGAAAGGATAAAATTCATGTAATAATCATGTGAATCCAAGAAAATTATGCATAAGTAAAGCATCAAACCATCAAATAGAAGCCTAAAAATAACTCTCCACAAGAGAGTTATCAAGCAGCAACTTAGCCTAGAGTAATATTTGTATCCATTGGATCTGTCTAGCTCATCAGATCCACCACTTTATCTTCAAGTGTCATCTCATTGGTGTGCATTAAAATCCCATCTGGCACAAAATGGTGATAGTGAACACAACACAAATTAACTTCAGGATTGAAAAGATGAACTTGCTCGATGATATTTTTGTATGTCTTCTTGGCCTGATTCACCTAGTATTGTTGATATTAGAAACATCCTTTTCAAAGGTAGCATTAGACTCTTTTAAAAAGGCCACTAAAGCTTTAAGGGTAGTGACGACCTCCTTGGCAAGCTCATCCTTGTCCTTTTGAAATTTCTTATGATTTTTCTTAAAGGAAGAAAAGGCCTTTTCAGTTTCTTCCCATTTCTTCACTGGGGACTTCTGATCTGGACCTGATATATACGAGATGAAGGAATAATCCAATAAAGGCCCAGAAGGCCCAAGAATCACAAACTTAACCTTAAAGGAACCAAATCTATCTCGTGTATGAACTATGGGCATCTCGCCTACTTGGCTGATGATGTGCCTTCAGCATATAGATATTTCAGAGTAAAAAGAATAAGGATTTGACAGTAATTCAGTGATAAAAAGTATTAATTTTAATGAATTATTGATAATCCATCTTCAGACACACTTTCACTGTGATTCTATATTTTTGTAGGAGGAAGCATGGAAAGAAGATTTTTACAAACAACAGTTTCACGCGAATAGCGTGATAATCATACTGATCGCGCCAGAAAGAGCCATGTCCACTGCCTTCTCATGCTAATGGCATGAATTTCACGCTAATAGCGTGAAAACTAAGGAACTTAACGCTAATAGCGTGATTGTCATGTTAATGGCGCCAATGTTGAAGACAAATAGAGCCAACCTACTGTATCTTCACGCAACTAGCGTGAAGCTCACGCTGAGTGCGCCAAGTACAGGGATCCTCAACTAATCGTCTGCGCGGATCGCACGAAGTTGGCGCTGATCGCGTGGACATTGCTGCGAATGCAGTCTGATTTTATGGGATTTGATAAAAATGGAAATTTAATCAATTATCTCATGAGATTATGACCTGATTGGATTGCTGTGTATAAAAAGGGAGTCAAAAACAAAAAGAAAACAACTTTTGCACGGAGAGAATTACGAAGGCAGAGATCGGAGAGCAACTCTTGGCGATTGAAAGACTCAAGAATTCTTCTTCGCCTTCTCTGGTTTTAGTCTTTTATGAACTCTTTTATATTTATTGAATTGTCAGACATGAATATGTCAGGCTAGTCTTTTATTATTGTTGTAAGGGTCACAACCATTGATGTGAACCCTTTGTAGTTTGATTAATTTTTACACTTGTTTATTCTAATTGAATTTATTTTCTTTTGCTCTTCATCTTTTAATTCTTCTAGAATTGATCACTCTATCCGGATTGCGAGGGTTAAGATTTTCAATAGGGATATTGAAATTCTAATTCCAGACAAAAAGGAAAGTAACTGTTCATGTATGCACTAGGGATAGGCTACATGAACTGCAAATGTTAAGGATTCACTGATTCAAAAGTTTAACCTAAAAATAGATTTCTAAGGGATTAGGATTCTAATAGGGTTAATAAAGGTAAGATCACTAAAGAATTAGGGCTTAACTAATCAATTAAAAGATGGTAAATTGTTTGATCAATGGTTAAATTAAATGTAAACATTAATTCAGATTATAAGGTGGGGATCATAAAGGTGTTGGCGTCTCTTTACCGCAATATTCTCTTAAATATTTTCTCAATCTTAATCTGTTGTTCTCGAGTTTTAAAAAGAATTTTTGAATTATTCACAGTTTCTTGAATTGTTCTCAATTTTCACAACTTACAATTGTTCTTAAACCAATTTTATTTATCCAACAAGAGAGGAATAATTATAATAATTTTGGTGCCTCAATCCTCGTGGAGACGATACTCTCCTCATCATTTTATTACTTGGAATGATTGGTACACTTGCCGATTTTTCACAACAGCTGACAAGCCAAAATTAACTTAGTAACCAAGGAAACATCATTGCTAAGATCAGCAGCTCATGGTAACTTGATCTCCATATGAACCCCATGAATACATGGCAGGACCAGCTCACCAGAAAATATACTAGGGTTAGCCTAACTATATGCTTCTCGCCCAAGAAATAGCCTATGAAATGTCACCATTCTCCTCCAATGAGAATTGACACCACCATTAGAAAGGTGACATAAAGTAAGGAATCCTACCACTTTAAATACAGAGGCATTCAACACAGATAAAATCATTCATCCTTGAATACTTGAAATATATTGAATATTAAATTGATATGAGCGTCAGAGGGTCTTACAAGTACGCCCCAGTCTCCTCAAATTGTTAAGACATTATGCATTCCAGATCAATCATCTCGTCAAGTAGCCAATCATCTCGACAAGCTTATTTGTCATCAATCATTCTCTTCATCAACATTCTTTACCTTCAACCTTGTGTGATCAGGCTAAGCACAATATCTGTTAGACCGATCAATAAATATATTTGTGTGAGTATAGTGTTGTTAATTATTTGCACACTACACACCAAAAACAAGTCAATATGTTAATATGTCTATTGTAAAGGGGATTTCACATTTTAGTATATTTTTTATAAAAAAAAAGATCAATATAAAAAGATAACATTAAATATATGACTTTAGTATATCTCATGTTGTAGGAGATAATTTTTATCTCCTACGCACATATAAAAGTGTGTGAGACCCATATTTTCTCTTTCTTTATTTTATCCTCACATAGGCCCATGTGGTCACCACACACTTTTATGTGTGCGTAGGAGATAAAATTATCGCCTACAACATGAGAAATATTAAACCTTAAATATATATATATATATATATATATATATATATATATATATATGTTTTCTTTTTTTGTTTCTTCTTTTCATATGGGCCCACATGAGTCCACACACTTTTATGTATGTGTAGGAGATAGTCGTATCTCCTACAACTCGAGAAAACATATTCCCTATATATATGGAAAAAATATTAGTCCTTTTAAAGGACATATATTTATGTTATTTTAAGAGAGAGAAAAACACAACCTAATATTTTTTATTTAATTTTTTTTCAAAAAAAAATCACTCCCTTTCTCTCCCATGATTTCAATTGCTTGCGTCGTTCTCTTGCTTAAAATGACATAACTCAATGTCCTTTAAAAGGATAAACACTAAACCATATATATATATATATATATATATATATATATATATATATTACTATTATTTATTTAAATACTTAAATATAAATGTAAAATATATTACTTTAAATGAGTAATAGTAATAAATATTTATAAATCTATATTTTCATATAATTTAAATGAGAAATTAATTATAACAGTGTTGAAGATAAATAAAAATTAAACATTATAAAAATGAAAATTAAATTTTATAATAATATAGACAATTAATTTCAAAAACTATTTATCATTATTATTGTAATCCTAAGATAAAAACATAAAATGTGAACCGATAAGCAAAGTGTAAATCATTAAGATAGTCTTATATTTGATAATTAATAAGCAATTGCTATTTTGATACATCCCAAGACAATTTTACATACCTATATAGAATATAGATAGATACTATTATTCATTAAATTATAAAAATATCGATTGCACTCATTTAATTTTTAAACATTTAAAATCACCCAATTTGTTAGAAAATCGATTAACTTCTTCAAATAAACTAGATCAGATTAATTAATGTAGGTGTTTATTTTGTTCTAAAGAATAGAACCCAAAATCTTCAATTGGTTCATTATTTTTTAAAGAATGATACTATTTTACACACAAAAAATGGCTTTTACGAAGCTAATAATGTGACAATGCTATTTTTAGCCCAAACTCTTAAGTGGAATGCATAATAATTAACCTCCACGTGATGCCTAAAAAAATCAACTTCTCTCTCAGAATTGTTGTTATCTGTGCTATGTTTCACAAGCCAAGATTGGCTAAAATTAAAATTCTTTGACAGCATAATGGAGTGCATTTATTTGTAGTAAGACCACAAAAAAAAAAGATCAAGTACGCAATTTTAATTTGACTTCGTTAGAAGTAGAGGTGGCAGGCGAGGTGAACTTTTGAAATTAGGCTGAAAAACTCTGTCAGTCTTGCCCCGTTTGATGGGTTGGCCTGTCAGTCCGAGCCTATTTTACATTGATCCGTTTCGATTCGACTATGTCCGCCATCAACCCATCGAAAAATAAACATATCGCTCCCCGTTTTGCTTTTGAAATGAGTTAAAAAATTCAACTCATTTTATCCCATTTAATTAATGGTACGAATTAACTCGCCGAACCGAACCCGTTTTATCGGCTCTAATTAGAAGAGCACAAACATAAAAAAAGGGTAGAGTTAGACACTTGCACAGGCTTAGAGGCAAAAGTATAAAAAGAAGAAGGAACAGGGGTGAGAGTTGCAAAAAGAAAAGATAGGAAGGGAGGGAATAGCAAAAAGAAGTTGGGAAAGATAAAAAGTAGAGCTGCCTACCAAATCCAGCACTAACTTAATTGTAACCACTCGTCTTTCTCACCAACTCGGTCAAATACTCTCTCTTAGCATTACTTCTCAGAAAAAGAAGGCCTCCGAGTCAATTGCACCTCTTCTTTCTCTCCACCACCTCCCATTTATATTCCTCCTACCCTCTTATCTCACCTCAATTACTTTCCACGTCCCATTCTCTCTTTCTTTGTGCTCACAACACAACACAACAACACAACACAACCATGGGTAGATCTCCTTGTTGTGAGAAAGAGCACACAAACAAAGGAGCTTGGACAAAAGAAGAAGATGAGCGTCTCATTAACTACATCAAGATTCACGGTGAAGGCTGTTGGAGATCTCTTCCTAAAGCTGCTGGTAAACTTTCCTTCTTCTCCCTTCACCATATTAAATGTACCTTCTTCTTTTCTTCCCCTAATATTCATGTATATTTTAATTAATTAATGTTGTTAACAACACAGGCTTGCTTAGATGTGGCAAGAGTTGTAGACTCAGATGGATTAATTACCTTAGACCTGATCTCAAAAGAGGAAACTTCACTGAACAAGAAGATGAGCTTATCATTAACCTTCACAGCTTACTTGGAAACAAGTATGAAACACAAAATCATTTTGTGAAATACAAAAAAAAAAAAAATTATTTTTATTATTGTTTTTTTTTTCTTTTTTCCGAATGAGAAATTCTGAAATTGTTTTATTTTATGATTTTTTTTCTCAGATGGTCTTTAATAGCTGCAAGGTTACCAGGAAGAACTGATAATGAAATAAAAAACTATTGGAACACTCACATCAAACGAAAACTCTATAGCCGTGGAATCGACCCACAAACTCATCGTCCACTCAACAGTTCATCCACTTCGACGGCCACCGCCACCGCCACCGCCACCGCCACCGCAACTGCCACCACAGTTCCACCTGCTAACTCTACTACTACAGTCCCTGTGGTCACAACAAGCACTAAGAAAACGAACAACCATAACATTAACAACAACAACAACATCAGTTTTCAGTTAGTGAGTGGTTATGCCAACACAAACATTGGAACCGATTTAAATGGTGAAGATTCGAATAGCAGCAGCGGCGTTACCACAGAGGAAGCTTATCCTCATGATCAAGTGAATTTGGACCTTTCCATTGGGCTTCCATCTCAGCCTCATGCTTCTTCCGTGAACACAGACAAGTTAAAACAAGAACAACAAGAACCACCACCACCAAATGTTTTGTACCAATGGTATGGGAATGTTACTAGTCAAGGTGTGTGCCTGTGTTACGGTCTAGGGTTTCAAACCAAGCAAGCATGTAGCTGCAAAGCCATGGGTACTACCACCACAACCACCACCGATAATAGTTTGTACAGATTTTATAGACCCATGAATATTTAGAGCTTTAGAAGTTAGTGTTAAATGTAATGTTGTGATATTGTTCTTAGTTAACATGGAAAATGGAAATACTTGTAGAATTCCAAAATTTTGAGAAAAATTTCAATTTTTTTTTTAGTGTTAATATTTTATTTTATAATATTAAATTAAGGGTAAATGATTTCAGTGTTAATGGAGATAAATTAACTTTTGGTGAGCTCAAAACGAAGTCGTTTTGGAACAAAAATTAAGGTATTTTTGTAATTATAATATATTGCAGAGTTATAATATCATTATAATTTTTTAATCTTATAATTCAAAACGACGTCGTTTTGAGCTCACTGGAAATAACTTTATCTCTCGTGACGAGAGAAATACTTTTCCCTTGAATTAAACTTTTAAACATGAAGTGGCTAAAATTCTTCTCTTGGCCTTTTCCGTTTGAGATTTGGTTGAATGTGAGACTAAACGCTAAATAAAATTTTTGGGTAATTGTGGTTTTACTTTGCCCGCACTCCAACAATTAATGTTTAATAAAAGAAAGATCATTCTTCCTTCATCGTATAATGGCCATATTTGGTATTTGGGTCATGAATCTAAACTAATTAATTAAATCAGCCAAAACATGATTAGAACATTCAAATAATGCATTATTTAAATCTCCCTTGCTTCCTTCTAATCTAACAACATAACATATTCTAAAATGGTCAATGTTATTGATTAAACTCGATGGTAACCTGTTACTGGGTAAAATTTGAATATTCCTGGCGTATTACTACTGGAGGCTCAGTAATGAGTTGTTATGTTTGGTATGTTACAGTAAGTTTGAGATATGCTCCAACACTGACCAGTGCCAGTGACAGTGGTTACTGGTCAAGCAACCCAATAAATCATCTTATAGCGTTTAGGTAGGAGACAGCTTTTGAATGCAAACCTACCATTTACTGTCCCCGGAAGAAGACAATTATTATGGGAAAACTGGGTACTATACTTGACAAAGTCTCTTTCACATTATTGATATATACATAGGGAAATATTATTCTTATGCAACATAAGATAACATCTTTTTCCTACACACCCATTGATTTCCGTGTAGTTTAATTTGTAATTTTTTATTTTTTATAAGTGAGTGGACCCCACCTATAATTGTGTCTATGGTAGGAGATAACACTCTCCTACAACATGAGATTACTAAATCCCATATACATATACACTACAAGGTTATCTCCCAAAGGAGAAAAACTTGAATGCATAAAATTATCCAACTCGGTGTTTTTCTTTTATTAAAAGGAAATTTTTTTTGGTCCTTTTTACCCTTTTTTTATATATTTTCTTTTAAATCCTAAAAGTTTTCTCTTTTTATTAAAAGAAAACACTCAATTCGGTGGTTTCAGTACATTGGAATTTTTCTCCTCCAAAAGCCAATACTCTGCTATTTCAATAAGTAGCTGGGCAGCACCTCAGTCTCTATGCCCTTGCTTGGTCTACATCATGTATAATTTTTGTATTTACATACTGCAAAGTATAACTTGAAATTGGAAAATGTTATGGCACCTATTAATTGCTCTATTTTATTTTATTTTTTTCCTTACAAAATTTGGCTTGTGATTCAGTTGGTTTGACATTCTTCTAATCAACTATAAACAATTGGTTTGTGATTCATTTTTTTCGTGATATTAATATCTTGGGCAAATATTGACGCGTATATTTCATTTATGACATCATCTACAAGCTACTCATGACTAACTATTATTTTAACGACAGTTCTTATTATAATTTCCATTTTTTTTAAGATCTTCGGTTTTGTAAACAAATTATGTATCCGTCTTATCATATTTGATGTACTAAAAGGTTTTGCATCTATTTATTTTGTATTTGTGTGCCTTCTATATGCTTTTTTTTTAGAGTTTTTTTACTAAAATGCTGGACTTTTATATTATCAAAGATGAAGTTTTAGAGATGAGTAGTATAAATGTTTCCAAGCTACAAAGGACTTTGCTTTAAATCTTTGAGATTAAATCATGTGATAGGGGGTCAGAATTAAGTGTACAAAATACCAAATTTGGATTAAGTGTAAATTTCCTTAAACAGATTGATGTACATCTGATCTCAAAGTTTTTGTCCTTGATGCTGAGTGTGAGGAAGTTGTAAATATTGTTCTATATATGAAAATGAAGTAGAAAAGTACTTGAAACTCATTTGGAACTTTTTTATTCTAATTTCTCGTGTTGATTGGTCGTGAGTTATAAGTAAATATTCAAAATTTGAGGAGTTCATTGCATTTTCCCAAAACAGAATAAAATCTTCGTACGTAGGCTTGGAAAACGACCTGTCTAAAGAAATGTTGTTATTTCATTTTTCTATTGTCTAATAACCTCGATATCTGAAATTTATTTTAGGTTATGATTAAGTCAAGTTATGTAAATTTATTCAGCGAACATATTAAGACTGTACTTTAGAAGGAAAAAATAAATAAATTAAGTTCTACATCAATCCAACCAATTACAAGCATTGGTTTAATATAATATTATTGAAAAAAATTAATATTGCTCAATTTAAACTTTGGTCAACGCAGGAATCCACAACTAACACAACCAAAGTCGAAGTCCTTTCTGGAGAATTGAATCAAAACGACCAAGCTTTAAAGAAATACCCAACAAAAAATGAAAAAAAAAATTCCTCAGATTTTGAAGTTTTCCCATCTTCTAGAAACAAAATTATTAATGATGTATATTAATGCGAATCTTATCATTCAAGAATTCAAGTAACATATATAAAAGACGTGAGGTAACTGAAAATAGAAGACTCGAATCAAATTTTCTGCAACTAGTTATCCAACAGATGATTTACCTAATTAAAAATAAAGATAAAAAAGTACAATGATAGAGGAGTTTAAATCACAAAAATTGATCGATACATAGCACTTATCCTGAAAATCAATGTTAGACCTTTGACATTTTTTTATGAACAAGAAAACTCTTGTTAGACTAGTCTGTGGCTATTTGATAATAATGAGCGCATTGATATTGTTTTTTTTTAATGATATTACTAGCTACATAATAATGTATTCAATTAAGGTTTTGGTGAACGATATATAACCTACAGCGCTAGTGGCGAGGGACATGGCCCACAACACGTGGTTGGGCAGAATGTAGGCAAAATATCTACAAGAATATATATTTATATATATATAATGTATGTGTGTGTATAGGTAAACGGAATAAATAAAAAGAAAACAAAAGAAAAACATGGAAATGGCGTGTGACTGTAGAGATAGATGGGAAGGTGTTTGGTGGTGAGTGGGGCCTACAGGACAAAGACAGGAACAGAAGAGGAACCGAACATTGAGCGGTTTTGGTAGGTGGATGTTGGTGACGTCAGTTACCACACCCACCCCGTTGTCTTTTCTCATAAAGAACTTCTTGTTTTTCCTTTTTTTTGGGTCATTTTTTTAATTAATATAATATTTGAACTAGTTTAATTTAAAGTAAAATTAATTTATAATTTCATTTCTCGTAAAAATTATTAAAACTAACATGCACTAATTTATTTGTGAGTAATAATATGTCTTATAAAATTCTGCTCACGTTAAGTGTGTGACCTGATTCTTATTGTGTATTATATTATAGGAAATAAATTTATTTTTTTATTATATAAAGGGTTTATTTTTTCTGTAATTACTGCATATAAGTTATCTGCAGTAAGCTCAATACGACGTCGTTTTGGAACGAAAATCAAGGTATTTTTGTAATTTTAATTTATTTTAGGGTATAAGAGTTTTTATATTTATAATTTTTTAAGATTTCAATACCAAAACGATGTCGTTTTAAGAATAAATGCAGATAAGTTATCTTCGTTAACTGCAGAAACATTTTTCCCATATACAAAAGTGTATAAAACTCTTCTTTTTTTTACATTGAACCCCACACACTTATTTATATATATATATATATAAGAAAATTTATTTATTATAATACAAAAATATTAACCCTTTATAATAAATTAATAATTGGTTAGTTAAGGAGGAAATAGACATATAAAAATAATAAATGGTGAAAGATGGTGCCACGTGAGTAAGTGGATGATGCCATACATGGTAACGCAGGAAGGCAAAGACACGAGGGACAGAAAGGATGTGTTCTGGAAGGCTTGGGAGATTAAGAAAAGTAGTCACACGTTACTCGCACCTAATTCTTTCGTTTTCATCTCCATGTGACTTTTCAACAGTTCCACGCTAGCATATACTTATATATGTATCTCTCTCTCTCTACGGTTATTGTGGTTTGGTTTGGTTTGGTCTGTCTCCGTTCTACCATGTGGTTTGTCATGTTGAGTTTATCAGTATTCGGTTCCTCCCAGAGCGCTATATAACTAATTTTGGCGTATACCTTATCATGTTATATGAAATAAATATTTTATACAAAATATATATATATACATAACCTACCAATAAAAAAGAGAGAAAAAAAATAAGTGAGTTTCATTCATTTTTGTATGTATTGTATAAAATATATACATAACCTACCAATAAAAAAGAGAGAGAAAAAATAAGTGAGTTTCATTCATTTTTGTATGTATTGTATAAAATAAATTATCTTATGCAATAAGAGAAATTATATCCCCAACTAATTTATATCTAAACATTATTTTGTACTTCATTTATAACACTTGTCTATTACTCGTTTGAACCTAAGAGATACTACTAATTTGATAATTTGCACTGATCAATAGTTTAATTTTATTATCAATTACAGCAAATATTTCAATTTATCAAATAATGTGCTAATATATTTTTAAATATAAATATAATTTTTTTAACACTAATAATAATATTAAATTAAATTCATGTAAACATCTCAACTTCGTATCATTTTGGTATTTCTTAACTTAAGAAGAAAACTCAAGCTAGCTTATAGTCATCTCTGGTTTTTTTTAACTCATTTAATTCAAAGAATACGAAACTCACTACAAGAAAATTGTTGTTTAGCCACGTTGAAAAACGTGGCAAATGGTGCCAAAATATGTGGCTAATAAAATTTCCTACATTTTGATCAGACGTGGCTAAAGGGGGCGTGGCAATAATTTAGCCACATTGTCTTTGCATTTAGCCACAATTTGAATGAATGTGGT